GAGTTTGCACATCCTTCGGTATACAATTTTTTATGTAATGGATTGAAGCAAGAAAAGATCCGAATCGCCTTTCTACAGAGGGTAGGGGTTGAAGTACCACTCTCCGTTTTCTCGATTTTTGGTATGTACTCTGACAGTTTGAAGCAATCATTTAGATGAAAGATCGAAGATTAGAGGTAACTTTCGCGCCAAATCGCTCGGACCAGTCAGTTGAAATGTTTCGCAGGGAGAAGGAAAGCAATGGTTGGGACGCGCAGTAGCGCACCGCGTGAGGATGCCGCGGTGCTTCTTGAGTCTAAACGCGGCACGAAGCACTTCCGGCTCATATGGCCTCAAGTTAAGAAACGAGGATGGACCTCCAAGCCGCCCCCTTCTCGCGGGGTTGAAACGCGATGGAATTACATCTTGCCTGGCGGCAATGCTAACGGCACTATTGGGATCGACTACGTCCTAGGAGAGCAAGCTGTGGTGGACCACGCTACGAATAGAAAGGTATATAAATTGATGTGTTATCTGAGTTGTAATGACATGTATCGCATGCACAGTGGTTCGGTACCAAGCTGTTGATAGGGTCCGCGCAGCTAATGCCGCCAAAGCGACACCAGAAGAATGTCCATCGAGTACTGAGCGTCAGTTGTCCGCGGTCAAGTCGCCAGCGAAGAAAAGGTCATCTTCCAAGTCTTCAGCAAGAAGGTCCAAGTCTCCTGCACGAAGGTTCAAGTCCCCTGCGAGTAAGCAGTTAGACAATTCAACAGCGAGGAAGTCGTCGTCCCTGTCACCCATGCGGATGTCGTCTCAGTCATCTGTGCATTATGACCCACACGACTTGGTTACACTACATCGACTTATCATTAACCTGTATTTGGTATGCTGTAAGATAAAGACTTGACTACAAGTGCGTCTCCGGCAAGCGCATCCCAGGTTCGACCACAATCAACATTTTCTTCACCAAATCTGGCGTCACCAACAGGTATGTTGCACGAACTGTTCTCATTTTGTCGATTCAAGCTAGTGTGTGCATCTGACACTGCCTCCTATTCTCTGTTCTGAACTATGTTGAACCCTATACAAACCAAGTTTCATCTGCTCACACAACTGGAAATGCACCTGCAAAGAATAAGAAGAAAAGAAGTCCAACCAGGCGGGGTTACGATGAACTGGAGCAAGCAGATTCATCAAGAAGTGCGGAAAGCAACACCACAGGACATGGCACTACGGAACGTATGTTGTTCGGCTACGCTATATATACTGTACAAATATTGCGACTAACTTGTATCATATGCTGTATTGTATGCCTTAGTGATTGATTTATCTGGTAACAACGCTGATGAAGCCAACAATTGCCGAGATGACGATTGCAACTACCAAGTTCTGGACTCGGGAGATACATCTGAAGAAGACGACTTGAATGATCTGGATGGAAGTGATTCTGAAGTCTCAGTTGCTGATACTATTGACGAGGTTGACGAAGAGGCCTTTGAAAATGAAGAGCGTCACTTTGCAGACCATTTCTTAGAGTCTATGGGCTTCGAAGAACAAGTTTTAGCAGGTGAAATTCTTGGACCTGCACTGAAGGAAATCTCAACTACTTGGTGGCATTAAATCGATACGTCGGATGTGGAGGAATTCCTGGGAACACCGTACTCCCCGGTAGCCGATGACAATGAGTACCCAGACCAACTGAAGATTGAACACGGACCTACAGATGTGGCATTGAAGAGGGGGGGTCTCCTATTTCTCTGTTTTCCCTATTTATGTCTATGGCTATTTGGCAGCACATTGCCGAGTGCAGCAATGTCTACATGCATGAGCAACTGGATAATCGAGTGGATAGGTACTTCGAAAAGAAGACATCGAGAGAGAGAGACGTGCTAAGGCTGCTGGAAACTGTAACTCCAACAAAGAAGACGAAGACTCGACGAGATGTTCGGCATAATTTTTTTCTCAGTCAAGCCAATTTTACCACATGACTGTGTGTATACATTGAGCTCTTGGTCGCCAGGACCGTTATGCCAAATCGTGAGAAGATGACCAGTCACTGGCGTCAAGATGATATCGGCGCGATCTCACGGTGGATTTTGGGGAAGTGTTTGGCACAAGACAGATTTTTAGAGATAACGCGCAATCTCCAATACAATAACAATCAGGATCCTCGTGCGAAGATCGACCGAGCCTGGAAAAATCGATCCGTAGTCACCATGTTACAGCAGACATTCGTGGAATCCTACATTCCTCCTGCAGAACTGTCATTTGACGAGACGATGCTCCCGTCCAGATCATCATATAACCGAACTCGAATGTACATGAAAGATAAACCACACAAGTGGGGTACGAAGCTGTTCATGCTGTGCTGTGCGCGCTCTGCTTATTGTATTCGGTAAGAGTGCAAATGGTTTATGCTGTATTGTATGCGTTACTTATGCTGTATATACATTGTTGTGTGTAACAGCTTTGAAGTGTACTGTGGTCAAAAGCAGCATATTGCTGAATCTGGAGTTGTGGATATGAAGTCTGGTCCTGCAGCGGTTGTGAGAAATCTGAGAGCGGGTTTTGGTAAAAAAAAAAAAAAAAAAAACGACTGGCAAGTCGATGAGGTTTGTTGTAGTCGATCGGTTCTACACTTCTATCGTTCTTGTAGTCCAGCTTTAGATTATGGGATTTTACTCTATCGGAACCATTATGACGAATTGCCGAGGCTTCTGCAAGGCCGTGGTCACCAAGATGAAGAAGAGACCCAAAGACATCCCGCGTGGCGCAGTGACGTTTGCACGGTCCAAGAACGTCAACAACATGGCTGCAATTTGCTGGTGGGGTAGTAAGCCTGTACACTTTCTTTCGATAGGTGGAAATCTCTCGCTTGATCGCGTTGATCGCCGGGAGAAGACAGGGGAGCAAAACGAAATTTCGTGCTCCAAAGTGATCAAGGACTATCATCGTTTCATGGGAGGAGTTGATGTGCACGATCAACTTCATCTACAACGATACTCAGTGCAGCGGCTATCACGTACCGGAAATACTACAAGTCTCTGTTTCTGG